GATCCCACCCTCAGGGATCGAGACCTAGATGCCACAGGAGAGATTGGGCGCTGAACATTGTTCGCCTGGGATTCCAACGTTTGTAGTACTTGCTACAATCCGGTGATGAGGGCGCCAACCGCCGCAGAAGGATCCACCATCAGAAAATTCTGGAATTGTGGGATCGCTTAAGTGGACGATATTGTCATTGCATCATGGTTTTGAGATATTTGGTGGCGGAGATTTGGGGAACCTTGCTGAATCTGGTGGCGCTGATCTGCATACGCTGGGGAAGCTTGCTTGCCCTTAGCAGCCCTCCGAACACCGGAGGTACCAGTTGTCTCAACCGAATGTTGAGGTTGAGGGACGACGGCAGCAGCGCGTCTGTTTCACATCACTCCTTTTCCTCCTGCCATTGTTGTTGAAAAAAAGCTTGCTGTGAGATCTGGGAAAAGGGGAGGATCTGGACTTGATTTACGGTTCTTCTTTCAACAAGAGCACCAAAATGACGGATTGTCGATCCTGGGGGTAGGCGAAATCTGAGAAAGTAAGGGAGAAGATCAAAAAAGTCGCTAAGCAGGATCGAGTAAATATTTCAGGAGAGTAACAACAAGAGAATTGTATTTCAGATTCCTTTCCACATGTTGGAAGGTGATATTTATACTAAAAAGGTAATACACTAATACTTGGTGCCCAAGTAAAAAGATGCTAGTCTAATGAGGAGTAGACACATGCCCTGCCTGTTTAACAGAATAACAAACTAATCTAATGGAGTGCTGACACGTGTAAAGGTGATCCGAGAGATAAATGGGACAACAGACTGATTGGAACTGTATGTAACAAATCGGTACCGGAATACACGTGCGGGTTACACATGTATTATCCGGAGTATTCCTCACTCTAATCCGCTGGGGTGACGTGACACTTCCTAGAGTGGTGGTGATGTGGCGGCAGCTTGTGTAATATTTTAATTAGAGAATCGCCTAAGTCCATATATTGTTGGAGAAACCCCGAGCTCCTGGAGGCCAGAGCTCGGGTATCCGCTTTTTTCCCGAGAGGGTCTACCTCTGGCCTTTGACCTTATCTGGTAGCTTTTACTTTCCTGTTGACTTTGTCTGACCTTGCATCAGTGTCAGAGGTGGGGGCGAGCTCAGTGTGCACAAGGTCGGCCTCATATTTTGCCTTAATTTGGATGACTCTCGAGCTCTGTGATTTTGCCGACCTCGGGGGTCGAGGTCGGCGTCGGCTGAGTCTTCTGTCCTTTGTCGATTTATCGTCTCGTGTTTGATCCTGACCTCGGGAGTCGAGGTCGAACTCGATTGGAACTTCAGTGTTTAAGTTTCTAGTGACGCCTTTGTAGCCCCGAATCGGCGATTATGATACCCTTGGGGTATATGAGAATATACTCCATCAGTGTCATTTGGACATTTTCATTGCATTATAATTATTGGATTCACATGAAAATAATATTTCCATCTCTATGGAGTTAGTGCCATACAAATGACACTTTGTGCAAAAATAACATTTTTATATATGAAAAAAATGGCATAAAAATGGCACTTAGTGTCAAAATGGCACTTAGTGTCAAAATAATATTTTACATGAAATTATTAGCATTGTATTTGTATAGGAGTAATATTTTTATCTCAATACCATAAAATTACTTTAAAATGACAGTTATGGCAATTTCAGATTCAAACCAGAAAATAATCTGAAAAGGTACAAAAGTATTGATTGAAATCAAATGTAAAAGATAATATTCTATATTGTTAAATATAAATTTAATGTCAACCTTTCAAAAAAAATTAAATGTCAAAAGAACAAAAACTAAAAGAAAAAGTGAAAGAGAAAATGAAAAATCAATGACAAATTATAAAAACAGATCAGCTAAGAAAGAAGAAAATCAAAGCAAAAAAAAATCAATTGGTCCTAATACAGCAGCAAGCCACCAACTTCAGTACTTCACGCCGCATAAAAACAAAAGGCTCCACCACCGATGGATTAAAAGAAAAAAAAAAAGAAGGGAAGAAGAAGAAGAAGTGGAAGAAGAAGAAGTGGAAGAAGAAGAATGAAGAGGAGAAGGAGATTAAAACTAACATGTCATGAACGCCACCGCCTGAAAGTGGCCGGAGTTGGAGGAAAAAACTCACCATTCGAATATCTATAATACGTCTGATCATAGATGGAGAGACGAAGAGTGAGATGAAAAGAGAGGATAAGGTAGCCGACTTGCGTGAGAAAGACATGCGAGAAAGGAATCTGACAATATAAAGTAAATTAATTTATAAAAAGGAGTGTAAATTATAAATGGTAAAAGAAAGGGACCCGTCAATTAATAAGTGCAAACACTTATTAAAAGTGCTTTTCAACTTTTTCCCTATGATGATAGACACGGGAGAACATCCCTATTTTCATTTTGCTTGGTTATAATAATATTATCAGAGCATTTCTTCCATTTTAAACACAAAATAATCTCTCATGACTAGGGGAGAAGATAACACTTCTTCTGTAAGTGTGTCATAAACAAAACAAAAAAAGCGGACGAGACCTAGCGCGACTAGGGTTAGATTGGTAGCGTAATCATTTAAGCAGCTTTCCACGTCCGATTTCCACCTTCGGCAATCGGCAGACGGGCTTCGCGAAAGAGCAGGAGGACTTCGGCAAAGTTTTGCGTGACAGCAACTTTGGTGCTCGCGTTCGGCTGGGTGGTTGGGCGAACGTCATGGAGGATGGGACAACGATGGTGTGGAAGCACCGGCAAATGCCTACGAGCTGCTGGATTTGGAGGTAGAGGACGAGGTGCTCGTCGTCGAACCTATGGCACAAAATTCATCAAATCACAATTTGACCCTGGTGGGGACCATTACATCAGAAAAGTCGGTACGTTTCTACCAGTTTAGAGATATTATGGCATCTATGTGGAAACCTGAAAATGGTGTTACTATAATTGAAATCAGTCCTAGATGGTATGTGTTCCGGTTCTATAATGAGGAGGATGTCATTAGGGTTGCTGATGAGGGACCGTGGCTTTTTGAACAAAACCTAATTGTTATGTGTAGGCTTAAGGAGGGCGATATTCCTTTGTCTGTTCCACTAAATAAAGCTGATTTTTGGGTCCAAGTTCATGATATCCCAGTAGGATATTTTACTATTGAGAATGCGGAACGTATTGGGAATTTCTTGGGGACTTTTATAAAAGTTGATGAAAATAATTTCTCTGAGAATTGGGAATCTTTTATGAAAATTCATGTTTGTATTAATTTGGGAAACCATTGAAAAGGAAATTGTTCTTGCAAAAAGAGGAAGGAATTAATTTCCGTGTCAGATTTTGCTACAAGAAACTGCATAGTTTCTGTTTTTTGTGTGGAATAATAGGGCATGCTGAAAGTCATTGCCCGCACAAGCGAAGGGGTTACAAAATAACCGACGAGAGGCCATTTGGGTCGTGGCTTAGAGCTGTGAAGGGGGCAAAGCAATGGAAGGGAAATAAATGGCTCGTTCCAGCAGGGAAAGGATTCAGTTCTGATAGCAAGACTACCAGTGGAAATAGAGAGGAGGGCATGCGACCAGGTAGTGTGGATGACGGGCTCTCACCACATGAGAGAGGGCATATCGAGCAGAAACACAGGTGCATGGAGGATTCAGGAGATTACTAGATAGGGGAAGAGATGAAGCTAGTTCATGCTGGGGGGAAACGGGGAGGAGACGAGCTACAAATTTGTAGCTCGCCAGACACAGCACTGAGAGGCACCGGCCCGCAGCTTTGGGAGTTGAATAAGGTAGAGCCATGAAGACTTGATTTATTTTTGTTGTTTTTCCTTTTATTTTGATCACATTGCTTTTCTCATTGTTTTGACCTCTAGTGGTAGGTTAGTTTTTTGTTTTTCTTGCTTGGTTTGGGATGCTACTGTTGGTGGAAGCGATAAGGCTTGTTTGGCCGTAAAAAGCTTCAAAACTCTCACATGGTTCGTGAATAGTCTAGCTCCTTCTGGGGTGGTCTATTCTATGTCTAGCCAGAGAGTGGGGGCCTTTGGGCTATGCGGAGCCTCATGAGGAGGTTTGGCATTGTAAGGGGGAAGTACTTTAAGAAGTTTGATTGATACTACCTTCGTCCCATTTATATTGGGACGGAAGAGAGTGACACGGTTTTTAAAGAAAATGGGTTTGTGACCTTGTGTGGTTGATATTAATCGATAAAGTAAGAATAAAGTAAGAACGATTTTGAGCCACACAAACTTTACCAAATATGGTATGTGACAATATTAGTGGGACTTCCCAAAAAGGTAAAATGGGACAATATAAGGGGGGCGAAGAGAGTATAATATAATCAGTTTCCTTTCAAAAAAAACTTTTTCCCTAAAATAAGCTAAAAAAAGTGTCTGCAACTCTCAACTTTAACTTAATTTAAAGTACTTTTAAGCCAAAAGTTAAAAGCATGTATGAAGATGCTTTTATCACCTTGTTGGTTTTAATTTTTGTTGATAATTATAACACTACATTTATTTAGTTAACCCAAACTACCCTTTATCCCTCTGTCTACACTTCCTGGCTTAGACGCCCAAACTTCTGTAGGCAAATCTATGAAGAGATAGAAGCCATGGAGTTTGTGGGGATTAGCTAACTTGACTTTTGGTTACAGCCGGCTCTCCTTTGTAGGCAAATTGGCATGAGGGCGACATTTAATAATTGGGGGATACGTCATTTTAAACATCGACCTGTGGACATTGAAATCAAAAAATTGGTGATGTGAAGGGCGGCAGGATAACGGGCGGTGGCTTGTGTATATTACAAAGAGCTTTCCCATCTTTTGTTTGAAATTTTAATTTAATTTGTACATGGATATTTTTGTATTTTAAAAGTATAATACATTAATTATCACTTTTTTTATCTAACACTTCTCACATTTACTTTTTTTTATCATTTCTATTTGGCTATTTGCTAGGCAATTACTTTGACGATATCTGTACGACTGTACCAATACCTCCGATCAATGAGACCGTATATGCTACACCCGGTTGTATGTACATCCGTGGTCCAATTAACATAAAAGCCCATTAAGAGATCTAGCCCATAACACACCTGGCCCCAATTTTTACCGGGTAATATCGATAACCGAAAAACAGAGCCTGCGATTTAAACATATCAAAAAACGGAAAAGTAACTTCTCTCGAACTACCTTCTGAAATTTCTTCGAAAACGACGCAAGCATTCATACACGCCGTATTAAAGCTCGAAAAACGATGACAGCCTCCAGACAATTGTCAACTTCGCGGAGTTGTTCGTAGAGTTGCAGAGCAACGACAAGTTAAGAACAGAGGAAGAGTTTGAGCAGCAAGTTGTTTCTGTTTGAGCATTGAAGCGAGTGATGGACCTACTATCCGAGTATGAGATGATGAAGAACGCAGATAAGCATGAAACTCCAGAAGGATCAGAGAGGTATGTAATATTATAGTGTTCAAATTTGTATTCAAGTAATGATTCAACAATATACTTGCATGTTTCGAAAATTATAGAAAAAATGAAATGATTTTGACAAATCTGAAGCAGATTATGAATTTGATGCATGATATGTGTTTATTAAGTATATCATTTGAGGTTTTGTTCAAAATACGAAGGTTATTGCTCATTTTACTCTACTTTAGGTCATATGCATTACTAACTAGTTAGAACATGGTGATACTGTAATTAGGTTACTTCTAAGATGATAAAATACTCAATCTGTGGTATACAGTACTCATCTATGAATGGAGTGGTATGTGCTTTAAATTTTCTGTACTTGTTGAATAATATCCTTATGATTCATATGTGTTTATGCTAATTAATCATAATGTGACATTAAAATTGAAGTCATACTCATTATTTGAACATTGTATCAAATGAACAAATAGACATTGTTTCATGAACAATGTGTCATGAAGTGCAGTAGATTTTTTGTTATACAATATACTTGTTCTGTAATTCGTTTGCATGGACATTGTGTGTGTGCTCATAATGTGAGTGTAAGATGCTCAAATTGTAAAACAGTGTGTCACAATTTTATAGTACTGAAAACTGGTGATAATATGTTAGTTATTCATAATGTTAATTTAAAAGTGAACTGATACTCATAAGTTGATTAGTACTTTCAAATAACCATATGGTGTTATGTTTTCTTAAAAAGCTATGAAAAATTTGTTTTAGAATATGCTTGTCATAAACTACATTTACATATAAATATAGTTTGTATAGAATATGCCTGTGATTGAATAGAGTTACAAAATAATATTTTGTGTGCTCATGATTTGATATATATTACTCATTTTAATTAATAATACAGGATTTTAGATCCACGACCTATAAGTGAGATCCCAGTGCTGCGCTCAAATCCAAAAAAGAGAGTAAAAAAGACTTCCAAAGTTCCACAGAAGCAGAAGAAGATGAAACCAAAAGCAATTCCAAAAAAGGAAAAGGCTAATATGGACTTAATAAAACAAATTGAAGCTGAGATAAAGATGAGTGATGAAGAAACAAGGGTTGCAGAAGTAAGGAAGGATAGCACTAAGAAGACTGAGCATGTTGGAGAACAATCTGAGAAACAAGGGAGGGATACTGAGCACCAAGGGAAAGAAACTGAGCACCAAGAGAGGGAAACTGAGGAGCATGTGAATGTTGAAGAAACAAGCAAAGGTGGCAGTAAGATGACTGAGAATGTTGTAGAAGAATCTGAGCACCGAGGGAGTGAACCTGAGCAGCAAGGTATTGAAACTGAGCAACATGATAATGTTGAAGAAACAAGGAATACTAGCAGTAAGACAACTGAGGAGGTTGGAGAAGAATCTGAGCAACAGGGAAGGGAAAATGAGCAACAAGGTAGGGAAATTGAACAAAATCAGATTGTTATAGAAGTACAACAAGGAGCTGCACAGAGAAATAATGAGAAGAAAAGAAAGAGAAATAATGCAGGCTCAATTAAGAAAAGTACAGAACAAGGAAATTCAAGCAAAGAGAAAGAGAGTGAGGAAGTTAGTCCAAAAAGAAGAACTACAAGATCAACAACTTCAGAAGCAACTGAAAAGAAAAATGATGAAGTTCAGAAAAAGAAGAAAGAAGTTCATGCAAAGAAGAAAATAACAAGGGAAGCAGATTCAATAAAAGAGAAGAAGCAGAAGATAAAGAAGAAGAAAGCAGAAGAAGAGGAAGAATTTGAGGAGGACGAAGAGGAGATAGAGAAGGAAGAGAATGCAAAATACCCAAAGCTGTGGACAAGAATGTCTCCGAGTAGTATAACAGAAATAATGAAAAATCTAAGTGCAGAACAAAAGAAAGAGGTGGTTGAGATGGGATTTGGCCCCTTACTGAACCTTGAAGTGAAGCAATTGCCAATGCAGTTGGCATATTGGTTGCTGGACAATTTTGACAGCAGAAGTGTGTCTCTTCTTCTGCCAAACAATGAAAGGTTGAGGATTAATGAAGATGGAGTGCACGTGACATTGGGATTTCCAAAAGGAAAGATTAATGTGAAGAATTTGATTGACACTGAATCTGAGAATACTTCACACATGGTGGCTAATTGGAGATCACAATTTCAGACTGAAAATGGAGTTGTGAAGACTGCTCAAGTGAAGAAGGTTATAGAAGAAAACAAAGCAGGCGGAGTATGGTTTAAAAAGAATTTTTTGGTTCTCCTGGTAACATGTTTGATTGAAGGGAAGCAAAATTGCCTTGCCAATCAAAGCATTCTGAAGGCATTGCAGGATGATTCAAAAATCAAGGATCTGAATTGGTGTGGATACACTTTGGAAACATTAATTGAAGCAAAGGACTATTGGAGCAAAAATAGAGAAAGACAGTTCCCAGGGCCTTTATTATTTCTGATTGTAAGTTACAAATTCTTAATGTTATTGCTCATTTTTACCACACTATTACTCATATCCGCATATACACTACACAATTCTAAAATCTCATAAAATATGTAGGTGTTCTATGTAGACAACATTGTGTTCAAAGGCAGAAAAGTGGACAGAGCATTGCCATCTATTATTGGCTGGACAACACAAAAGCTGAACAAACGACAGAAGGAAGAAATTGAAACTGGAGGTTTTGGATACGGATATATAGATGAACCTAACAAAGGGGAATTGATAGTTCCAAAACTGATCACAAATGAAGAAGAAGCTGAAATCCCGATCGAGGGAAACAGTAATCAGGAGCCAAAGAAGGTAAGGACAGTATTATGTAATTTTAATAGAAACAATTGGGTAAATATATAAATGATAAGTATGATATGTAGATATGAGTATTTAGTACAAAGTAATGAGTGCATTTAAGAAGTTAAATAAAAACAAAGATAATAAATGTGTTAAAAATATATATGCTTCATTCAATTATTTTAGTATAAACTCAATAATAACATAAAGAATGCTCAATTACTGTTCTAAATTAATCATTAAATAACTGCAGGATATTATGAAGGAGTTTGCTGCAGCAGCGAAGAATTTGGCAGAAAGCATGGCCAATTTTGATGAAAAATTTCAACAGGCTGCAAAGGTGTTACCTGATGATGAGACAATGAAGATTTTAATGGGAAAAGTCCATGGGCTTTTCAACACATATTCATCAGAAAAGGAGAAAGAAAAAGAAAATGAAACCGAAGTGTCACTGACTCCAGATGATGGATTCTGGACTGAAGAAGTGCTCAAAGCAGTTGAAGCTATTGAAATGGCTCAGAAGAAAAGAGTTGAGAGGCCAACTTTTACTCAGTATGAAAAGCCAAGCTTCAAGTTGCTTTCACAGGAGTCAAATGATGGGGCGAATACATATGGGGATGATGATGAGCATCATCATGACATAATTGAGCAACATGGCAATGCAATTGAGCATGCAGAGGATGGTCCAAGTGAGCAAATGAATAAGGATAATGACAATGCTGAGGATGTTAATGAGGATGAAGAGGAATCTGAAAAGGAAGAATGTGAAGAAGAAAGAGACAGAAGGTTTAGAAAGGGTAAGCAAGTTGAACAATATCACATTGAACCAAAAGAGAACAAAGTGGAAAGAGAAAAAAGAGAAACAGCCCCAGCACCTGCTGTGAAGTCCCCATTCATGAACAGAAGTATAGATGCAAGGACAACACTTGGCAGTGAGGAAAGACTACTTGCAGGTTTTGTGTTCAATGATCATTGTGACAAGAAGTAAGTCGCTAAGTTTTTCTTAATCATTTCGTTTAATATAATGCACATTTAATATTTGAAGGTTACTCATTCTGATATAATAATTCTTTTCAAACAGTGTTGTGGTGTTCAAGCATTACAACTTCACTCTTTCAAAAGCTCAGATGGAAACAATGAAGAGCAACACAAAAGTTGATGCTGGAATTATAGATATATGGGCAATGTTGCTTAATCATAATGAAAAGTTCAAAAGCCCTGAAGCTAAAAGCAGAATGATTTTCTCAACAAGACCATGTGTAAGAAGTACATATTCATTTACTTAGTATTACTAAAATGAAACTAATATATTATAATATTTAATGACAGCATGTGCTAGATCAAAATCATCTCACCGCTCCACAAACAAGGAACAAAAGGTTTGCGGCAGAAATTGGCAAGGAATTTCCCTGTGCAGATGGAAATAAGTTGAGGTCAACAGACTTATTCATATTCCCAGATGAATACAATGGGTGCTACTATATGATGTGCTTTGACTTGAAGAGCATGAAGTTCTACATCATTGATAGTAGCGACGGAGATATAGCTCCTGCAGTCAAGTACTTGTTTCAAATGTCATACCTGGTAAACGTTTTATATATTTCTTTTTTATTTTATCACATATGGATAAATAATGTGATGATTTAGTATATGAGTAATGTGCACTTGATAATTGAGCAACTACATAGACAATATGTGCATGAACATAAGAATATGTATAATTCTGTTTTTGAAATTTTTAACTACAGAGAAGTGGATTTGTGAAATTTCTTCGAGATCAAAAACACCCAAAGGCAGATAAGGTTGTGAAGCTGAAGGAAGAAGTGGTTAAAATGCATTGGAGAAACAAGAAAAACAAAACCAATGAGGGAGTTTATTTGATGAGGCACATGGAGACATTTTATGGTGACACAGCATGGGAGTGTGGATTAGATAAACAAAGTGTAAGTCCAAAATTGTTTAATATAGTTTTCAAACACAATAATTATGTGAAAACTTGAATATCTAAATTATAATGTTTGTACAGGAAAAACCAATTGAGATGCTGCGGATTAAGTACTTGCATGCAATAGTAACATCTGATAAGAATGAGATCAAGAAGAACATCATGGAACAAGTGAAGAAACACAATGTGTATATCTAGAAGATTTGTAATGCTATTGATGATTGTGGGCGTTGATGAACATATTGTTGTTTTTTAATTCATGCTAAACAATATTAGTATTTGGGACATATGATATTACTATTAAGCTTGGATGACAGTAGTCATGTTAGTAATATTAAATAAGGACATATGCTTATGGGAAGTTCATATTATTGATCATTATTAGTAAGTTCTATGCTCATTTCCTTGCTTACTTATACACATTTTAAGGTATTAATGATAATTACTAGTAAGTACTATTCTCAATTCATTTATTACTTATACAAAATTTTAAGGAGTGAGCTTTTAAATTTAAATTCTTTGAGTGTGAAAGTAAGACAATGTATTAATTCATTAAATAAACAGTGCGGGGTGTTTTTTCCAATTATTCGTAATGTATTTATAATGGTATGAGTCTTCACTACGAAATGAAATAGATAATTTAAAGTTTTTTTGGGAAAAATATGTATATATTTGTGTTCATTGCGAAATAGTAATTATACACATTCATGATGATTGTAATATTGATTGCTGACATCTGTATTTATGAAGTTTATATTAATACTCATTATTAGTAGCGTAAATGCTCATTTAATTAATTAGTATACACAATTTGAAGACTAATCAATTGAATTTTAGAACATTAAGTATGAAATTACGTTATACAAATTTTCTTATAAAAATTATATTTAATTTGAAATAGTAAACACATAATTTAGTGAGTCTTGCATTCAAAATGCATTAACTAAAAAATTATATTTACTTCTATACTCATTTTGTTAACACGTGGTACTCATTATAGCACAAACAATTACTCAAAAGAAGATTAGATCAGAGGAATGTATGATTACAAAAAAGTAAAAACTACAACAAAAACATAGAGGAACAAAATGTAAAGTCTAAAAGTGAAAATAACTGAAACTAAAATGATGATAAAAGATAAAAGATGTTATTTTTTGAATAATATAATAAGTATGTAAATAAAAAACAAAGCTTTTAAGAATGTTTACACATTTCAAGGTTCAATATTCGAAGTACTAGCTGCAGTTGACTTGTTCCTTCCTTGGAAGTTAAGGTTCATATTTCAGAGAACATTTATAATATTCCAAAGCGTAATTTTAAATGATTAACATACAGCTACGGTCTGAGCATCAACACAAAAATGTTGAGTAATAAAAAAACCTGACACCAGTCATTAGTAAACTAGTGAATATAACAGTATTACTACATAGCTATTGGAAAAATCAAACTACAAATTTGCTTGATCAGTTTCAGATGTACTAGCTTGGCGTGACTTCTTCTTTGCTCTAGCTTGATTTGTTTTGATTTCAATAAGACTCTTGCGACGAACATTTCTTTCACCCTTCTTCCTTGAAGACTTTGGATTAGATATTGTTGAACCCAAACCAACTGTAGAAGATTCACTATCTGAAAAGTAAATACTTCCAACTTGCTCTTCAACATCCACTTTCAACTTTGTAAAAGATTCTTCACAAAAATGCCTTGCTGCAGAATTAGAATCACTAGAGCACAAAAGCTTGTGAAATTTCTTTTGCATTTGCATTCTCCAAACAGAAGGTAAAACATTAGAAGTCCCAGATGAGGCATATATTTGTTCAGTTGGAACACACTTTGC